TTTTGCATCATGCATCCCCGTGCTTATATATTTTTAAGCATGGGTTTTTGGACGATCCCCTACATGTCTTTGCCTCTGTAATGCAATTCTGTGTATATCGCAAGATTAAGGGTGCCAAATAGTTTCTGAATCCGTCGAAATAGCTTCTGAATCGCAGTTTCTGAATCGAAATAGTTTCTGAATCGTAGTTTGTGAATCGGGCAAAATTGTTTCTGAATCGTAGTTTCTGAATCGGCATAGTTTCTTGAATCGGTGCAAATAGTTTCTGAATCGGTCCAAATAATTTCTGAATCGCGGTTTCTGAATCGGTCCAAATAGTTTCTGAATCGCGGTTTCTGAATCGGTCCAAATAGTTTCTGAATCATAGTTTCTGAATTGCCGATAGTTTCTGAATCGGTTTTCTTCCTTTTATGGTTAGACTATTTCGCCTTCAAAGGCAACTTGGAGGGTCTGGATTAGAGGCAATGTGGTCGGTCTGGAAGAAGGCTTTAAGGCAAGTCGGAAAGTCTTGAAGAGGAGTTTGAAGGCCATTTCGAGGGTCTGGAATAAGAGTTTAAAGGCAACTCGGTGTGTCTGGAAGAGCAGTTTCGAGGCAATTTCGGGGGTCTGGAAGAAAAGTTTAAAGGCAATTGGGTGTATTTCTTTAAAAAAAATTGGAAATATTTTGGAAGTCTGGAAGACTACTTCAAAGGCGATTTGGGTCGACTTGGGGTGTGACCCGAAATGACGTCAATGCAAGAGCTGATTTTGGAGTGAAAATGCGAAGACGCTACACACAAGTGCCCGAGAACGCTCCATGCGACAGGCAATGTCAGTGAAAATGCAACAACCGTCCACGCAAGGGGGCGATTGTGCACAAAAATCTGAACGTCCCACGCCCGAGCCCTTGCTTCGCAGAAATGCACAGAGAGCGGCGTGTTTATTTTGCTGCTAGGGCGGGGGGGGGGGTTTTCCTGGGTGTGTTAGTGAGGGGCGTGTTGTTTTTTGCCATTTGGGCGGGCCGGGGAGAAGGCACGTTCCCTTGTGCAGCTCGGGCTGTTTTGCTGTTGGGGCGGGGGGGCGGTGTTTTGTTTCCAGTTTGGGCAGGCCGGGGAGTGGGAATTTTTTTTTTGCCGTTCGGGCGGGGGGGAAGGGGGGCGGGTGTGTATGGTATTGTTTTTTTGCTGTTTGGGCGGGCCAAGGAAGGGGCGCGGTTCTTTTTTTGCTGTTTGGTCGGTTTGCTTTTTTGCTACGGTTCGCTCACTTACCGGCCTGACTGGGTTGGCTTTGGGGGGCCCAACAACAAAAAAGACCAATTAGAAAAAAAATCGGGTTCCCACGAAGGTCATAGGCTCACAGTTTGCCTGTAGCATTGGAAGCCCGATTTTCTCGATGCAAAATGCACATTGCGAAGAGCCGACTGCACCACAAAGCAGTTTACAGCCAGGACGCCGGTACCAGAAGAAGGAGATGAACATAGTTATGCGAATCGATCCGGGACCTTACAGTCGTCAATCAAGATCTATGCGCAAGAGCAAGCAAGAAGGAACCCGCAGAGGAGCAAAGGACATCTTGAAGTGCCACGATACTGTATGCAGGTGCTTGAACCAGCAAATTTTCGATTGCTGTCTTGCAGGCGGCTCGATTTTGATTCGCCAGAGTGATGTCAACCTGCCTGTCACATTCACAAGAGTCAACGCTGGGCTTGAGGAAGCTGTGCGGTCATGGAAAGATCGGTTGGCTATTGGCAATGTTGATCTGCCTGTCGTTGCATCGATTGCTTTTCAAAACTGAATTAGATGTCTGAAAACCTCGTGACAAGTTAGGCAATATGGCGCAGGAGCCTGATTACATCTCTTCACCCAAGCAAACCACTGCTGCCGTTGCACGGCAAGCGAAGCCCATCATTGAATCATGGTAAACTCCTGAATTCCTGCCTTCAGATCTGGGTTCCTAGACATCACAAACGAGGCTTCAAGGTTGCTGGCATGGCAACTTGATGCTAGTGTTGCCGGATTCAAGTCGGATTCATTTCCAGGCATCTTGCGCTCCCAGGACTAACAAACTCGGACATCAACAGCATTGGGACCTTCTTTGGATTGAGGTCTCTTTCCCTTTGACAGTTTGCGTGGTCATGGCCAATGTGCGTTTCCACGGATAAGGCGGACCCTAACATTTCACAGAGAACCACCCCTTCTAACACCTCCATGAAACTACATAAATTGCATGTGCATGACCCTGTTCATGAAAGCATTTCTTCAACCTATGGTAAATCCAGGAAGCCATGGAGCATCTTTACCCGGGAACCACACAGGACTGCTCTTTTGCAGATTTGACCCAGGAAAGCAAATCGTCAAGCTAAACTGTCCATAGCACAATGAGGATCCCTTCGCAAAGCCAAATAAGTCTTGCTTCCATGCCTTGCCTGCATTCAGGCAGCTGGTTGCTGACGACTGCCCAGTGGGTGACCTCACAGCAGCAAGCATGATCTTCCTGGCAACAGGAGTCCGTTTCCACTCATCGTCAAAAGCTAGTTCTTCCTGCACCATGGAGTAACAACCCATGAGCTATCAGGTTCATCTTTGAAAATGCTGTATTGTCTGATTTCGCGCACTTCAACATGCTTACAATACCAGGAGCATCAGCTGCAAGGGTACCAGCTAACTAAAAATTGGCCGATGGTTGCCCTCCGTAGCTAAGCTTACAACTTCCGGAATAGACCCGCATAATCTCACATAAGTCAGCAAGCACATTCCGGAAGAAGCATCAGACCGGATGGAATGTCACTCGCAGACCTAACTACTGCTGGCATGAAACCTGCAGTGCGCTTCATGGGTACATTTTCATCTTTTGCAGAACTGTGCAGATTCCAATGAGCTACAACAGATCATCCTGAGGCGGCCTAGCTTTTGCGCGCATCAACATTAGACGCGTCTTACGGGCAAAATTGCTCCATCTGTTGCAGTAACATAGCGTCGCTGGACTACAGCTATGTCTTTAACACTCTGTTGCCGTCCGGATGCCTTTCCATTCTCGATCACAACATCTGCAACGGCAGAAGCACCAATCATCTCGCCGTCCCGCTGGATGTGGTACTCATCAGGAGCCAGAAAATTGATAAGGTTCCCAAACTCAAGCAAGGTGTTTGAGGAGCCAGTCATCACAATCCTCGGACGATCGCGCCAAGTCACTCACTCAGCCCTGGTGAAGGTGCGCAGCACACATGAAACACAGGCGGAACTAAGGTATTCCTACTGTGTAACCACACGGCACGCTAAGAGGATTGCAAATGACGCTTTCTTCGCATTCAGAAAATTTATCTCGGGTTTATGGCTTCATGTTCTGTATGAATTACTTCATCACTGGGAATCTGCGAAAAGAACGTGCTAAGGGCACACAAAGCATCTTTCAAACTCTCGCACGGACATATCAGCTTGCCATGAAAATCTGGTGCTTGAGCTTCAATTGTGCTTCCTTTCATGTGATTCATGGTTTGCAATGTCATTCCATGTTAGGCCACTTTATCCGAGACTTGTTGATTAGCTTGTCTTGTGCTATATGTGTTGGTACTATTTTGAGAATGCGCCAAACGTTCATTATCTGCAACGCATCCAACTGGGCTAGTTTGATCTGGGTTAATTGGCTGGACATTGGACCACATGTTGTTTTTGTCCAGAATGGCGTTGCCTTAGCTTTGTCCCAGAGTATTCTGAGCTGCCGGGTAGTCTTGATTGTCATTGTGATTTGACTGTCTACCTCTGCTGCGTTACCTACTGCGTCGCTCAAGACCGAGCCTCAACAAGAAGCACGATTGCGCCTTGGCAAATTTTTTACCTGCACCTACAACCACTACAACTGGCACCTTCCGCGCAAGGACTCACACTGTGCGTTCATCTCCTAGGTCCGAAGCACTTTAGCAAAGGAACCAGCTTCCTTGCAGGCATTGCGTTGCTTGAGCTTTCTCATACAGGTTGTAGCGGCATCCTGTGGTCGAGGCTTGCACCACATATCTCAGCAAGTTTCCGAATGCAAGGGGCCTGCATCCAGGTTCAGGTTGCCCTGAGACACGTAACCTGGCCAAGTTGAAACTTGTAGAACTTCCCCCTTGACGGGGTCTGTGTTGTGAAATGGCTCAAAGCAAAGCATGTGCGGCCTGACACTGGAGGGACTGGCACACTGGCATCGCAAACAGGTTTGTTGGCATCGACAGAAATGACTACCTGTGAACAAAATGTCAAAGCTTGGCCATGTCAGCTGAACCACGCAACGGCCATGTACCTGTCAGGCTCTGTGCCCCGCCTCCATTTGGCCCACAGCCACAGCATAACCTTCTGTTGTCTTCTTCAGGTCTTCAGCCAGGGCCTGTCCGCCTTTCATACCCACCAACGCATAAGAAGCTCTGAATGAAAGACCTCAGGCCGCAGAGAAAATGTCATTGAGTCATTGTTCCTCTGGAGAACTTTGCTAGGGGGGCTGCTGTCAATCATGGTTGCACCACAAGTCTTGATCGCTGCTTTGGCCGTGGCAGTAAGGTTGATCGAAGCCTCTGCATGCACTTTTCTGGCTTTTTTTTTCGCCCAGCTCTTCAATTAAAAGGCTGTGAGAGTGCAGGCCCTGCCTCATCACGTGCCCCAATCAGCACCATAGTACCATCCTCGATGCCAGCGATGTAAGCAGCCAATGCATCGGACCCGTCCCTCATCGTGTCGAAGGTCGCCTCAGCAGATCTGCGCTGCCAAGCACAGCTTTGTGGAAGCACCACTGATTCTTCAAGTCAAGCTTCAGAATCTTTGCGGGTTCCATCAGGCCGCACTGTGACAACAGTCATGCCGCGACTCGGCCTCAAGCAGGACAAGACAGATTGGGCAATAGGACATCAAACTGCCAGAGCGTTCTTGGATACAGGGACGTTGGCACTCTTGAAGCAACCTTACTCTAGCTTCACATATCCACATACAGACACTCTGGGGCCATTATTCGCAGTGCCCATGCCCTGCAAGCCCATGAGGTTCCCTGTGATGGGAAGTGCCAGGGCAAGCCTGAGCGGAGACAAAGGAGAGACAGATTCATGGTGAGGAAATTGTGAAAGCTGTGAGAGAAGTTCAAGGAGAGCGTGAAAGGGATGCCAAGAGTACTGAGTAGTGAAGCTTGTGAGAGGATTTGTAACGATGCATGTTAGGAGCGCTGCCAATTTTGGAAAGTGCCTGCGGGCTCGCCATTGTACTCCGCGCAATTGCGCTGGTGGTGCAGGTTGTGGCAGTCGCGATGGTGCTGGTGACGGGGACAAAAACCTGTTTCTGGTACTAGCTTTGGTACACTCATACTATGGCTGGCTGTGCCCAGCTTTGTGGCCTGGGCCGTTGTCGACATAGCCCCTTGGCTGGGCCCTGATAAATGTCTATGGGGAGGCGCAATTCCAGGCACAGCCTGAGGCAACCTGGGTGAGCCGGGCTTCAGGCAACTAGGAGCCCAAGGATCTTCCTCGGCCACGGATTGGCCTCCCATTAACTCCCATGAATTTGTCGCTTCAGCTCTTGAAGAAATTCCATCAGCTGAGAACCAAGTTGGTGGCCAATTACTGCTCAAGACTCCAGCAGAAAAACTTGCGCATATCAGGCTTCACTCCATCAGGCAGAGTTGGACATCTCGCTCAAGCAGACTGAGTGAATGAACGAATGAGCGGACGCATGAGCGAATGAACTCACATGAGTCTCCTTGCGGCTGTGGTTGTAGTAGCGGTGTTAGTTGGAGTTCTGCTTGTGGTTGCAGTGGTGGTTGTTCTTGGTTGTAAAGGCGGCGGCAGCTAGGACTCTTGATGATGCTGTCGTCGTCGTCGTCGTCGTCGTCGTCGTCGTCGTCGTCGTCGTCGTCGTCGTCGTCGTCGTCGTCGTCGTCGTTGTTGTTGTTGCTGCTGTTAAGTTTGAAGCCCTACAACTTTCTCTCCGTCTGCGCCGAAGACGTGCCCCCTGCAATCATGACTCCACACCTTTCCGCTACACATTCCCTCCCTTCACAGTTTTCTCACGCTCCATCTTGGGGTACATTTTCTGCTCACTGTTTTCTCACACTCTTGCTCACAGTCATGCTCGCACAGAATTCACAGAAATAAGTCTGGTAGCCTCCAATGGTTCCAAGAAGGGGCTCCCTGAAACACTCAAGGCCATGTGTGTAAACCGCTTAGACTTGCATGTCGTGCACTCGACCCAAAGTCACCTGCTGGCACCACTCCCCATTGAACCCTTGTATGGTTTGCGGACAAGGGTACACGTTCAAGAGCAAGCTTGATCGCCAAGGTGCCCAGAATAAAAGTTGACGCCGTTAGCGAAGAAGATTGCTTCGTTTCCATCTGCAAAGCCAGCACTTCGCCTCAACAAAGCAGAACTTTACCCAAGAAGCAAAAGAACATTTCGCGCGTTCCAGTTTCGCCGTGTGGCACACCAACGTCTGCCATGCCTTTTGCCGCTGCTGCGCAGCAGTCAGTCTCATTGATGCTGCGCATGCTCCTTCAGCTTAAGTTCACAAATAGCAATACCACCAAGCATGCATCGAAAACGTGATGGAGCACAAACACCACCACTGACTGCCACTACCGCTACCTCACTGCCACCAGAAACAATAATGCCAGCCTGCACCAGCACTCGCAACAGCAGCAGTGCTAGTAAGTACCAGCACCAGATGAATCAGCAGCAGCGAACCACCAGCATCAGGAGCAGCCGCAGTCATCCCCACCAGCACCAGCAATAGCAGCAACGGCAACAAAAAACACCACGGCTGCAAACAGTAACAGCAATGCGGCCCACAACAACATGCTGCCTCACCGCACTTGATACAACCAAGCATCCACATACTGCCACGCTTCAGCACCAACCCCGCAGGGCAGGTAAGCATGGAGCCTCAGATGAGCAAATGCCAGAGCAGCATGAATGTCCGACAGGACACTCCTGGAATAAGAGCAGCATCAGCCAAGCTGCAAAATGGGGTGGCACGAGTTGTTGTTGTGGTGGTTGTCGTCGTGGTTGTGGGGCTTGTGGTGATTGCTGGCAGGCTTTCAGCGCCTCAGTCTTTGTACCACACGGACCAAAGTGTGGCCCCAGCTTGTCGCAACAACTTGGGGCTTCTTCGTGTTGCACAGAATGCCTGCAACAAATATGACCATGTTCCGAGCAGCTGTAAATTGCTGTTGCCACCGCAATCGGTCCGCCATCCACGAACGCCTGCAACTGAACAACATGTATCTTGATATAACATAATGCTGCGGGAGCACACCGGTAAGAATCCTCCTGTGACCTGCCCTAAGAAACGGGAAGCTGAGCGTATTTTTTCAGAATTGCTATGCTTCAACAACCAAATCACACAACAGAGATGGGCAAGATGAGACCGTGGCAAGTGCAACATGATGTGCCCTGTTGGCAGCTCCCTCTTTGCCAAAAGTCTGCAATCAGCAGGCTGCCGTACTGTGAAATTGCTCACAGCATTCACAGCCCGTTTGGGGATATCAGACGCTCGATGTGTAACACTCTGTGTCAGCGCGATGAAGTGAACCGTGCGAAACTATGACACTAAAATTCGGAGGGAATCAAAGTTCGAGCATGATGTTGTTGTCTGTTTGCTCCGCTCGGGAAGGAGTCTGAGCAGAATCGTTCATCAAGATAAGCATAGGTGAGACAAACCTTTTGGTTGATTCCAAACCGTTGTGCAGGTTCCGGGGTCACTGAGCCAACCTTTTTCCGGGTCACTGAGCCAATTCGGATCCCACACCGGTTCGGTTCACTTAACAAATACTTGTGCGGGTCACTTGGCCAGTTCAGGGTTCAGGAGATTGTGACAGCCTGAAGGGTCTTGGGCCTAGGGCCTAGGGCTTAGGGTTTTGGATTTAGGGTTTAGGGTTTAGGGATTTTGGATTCACGACTACCTTCAACTGGAAGCCAGCAAAACTTTTTATGTCACTACACGTGTTTGGTATCACCCCACCCTCCCAGAATCCTTTTTCATTTAACATTTTTGCCCTTCTTTCTTCCTTTGCTTGCCACCTGCTTACGTCCCCTATGTGTCACATATTTACGTTTGCTTCTAAAATTGAACGCGCCCGTTTCCGGAGCCTCCAGAAAAGTCCCAACAGCCTTCAGGCCCATTAAGATTGCGCGCTTAATTTTCATAAAAAAAAACAAACTCCCTCGTCTTGAATTGAGAATGAGATTTTTTCTTCAGTGGCTTTCAAGGGCCTCTTGGGGCCTCCAAAGGCTCCAAAGACCGGCCTCCAAAAGCCTCCAGAAACCAGCCTCCAGGGCGTTGAAGTGTCTGCTCCAAAAAAACATCAGAATCTCCACACAAGGCCCCCAGGGGCTCCAGGCCTTGCGGGGCCAAAACCCAAAACCCAAAATCCAAAGTCCAACACCCAAAATCCAAATTCAAAACCCAAAATCCAAATGCCAAAATCCAAAACCCAAAACGCAAAACCCAAAATCCAAATGCCAAAAACCAAAAAAACAAAATCCACAGCCTTAAAGGGACAAACTAGAGCCACGGCCCTATTAAGGATTAAACACAAAAAGGTAGAGAGACTTGAGGGGTTTTACATTTAAAGTTTAGGGTGTAGGGGTCTTGGATGTAGGGTTTAGGGTTTAGGGGTTTGGGATTTAGATGTTTTTTTTTTTTAAGCGCTCCGTTTGATCCCCTGCAGGAACAAAGGCCAGTTCAGGCCGAGCGGTCCTCCGGCTTTACTTACGAACATCGGCCCTCTCACACGTCACCCTTGGTAGCCGTTGTTAACTCCTGGCCCTTCTCAAGGGGGTTTAGGGTTTAGGCGTTTGCCAGTGTTCCGCGCACACCACCATGCGGGAGGTGTCGCGTGGTGTGCGCCAAGGTTCACGCTCTCTCTCACCCGCCCTCATATCAACCTTGGGCGGATTAAGGGTTTACCTACCCACCTGCCCCCTTAGCAAAGGGGGTCTACTTTCTGCCGAGCTTACATGCACTTGAGATCTTTCAATACGTTTTTTATTCAGAAAGTTATGGAGGTAGGCCTTCAGATCAGTCGGCCCGTTCACGTCGCAGCATGCCTGCAAACATCGGTCATCGACCCCAAAGGCCTACAAGCCGAAGCTTGGCGGCTTGGCTTCTGGAAGTACACAATGGATTGCGTTCACCGGCTCTGAAGGAGGGAGCTGTGGGGGTCCGTTTGGCTATTCGGGGGAGCTCTGGTCTGCCTTTCATAGAAAAGGACGACGAAACGTAACGGGTTAGGTGTGCGGAGAGCTGAAGGTCTGCTTGGCTCTTCTGGGGAGCCCTGATTGGCCCTCTTCATAGACAAGGACGACAAAATCAAGGACAACGAAACGCACCAGCCCTGCTGGGAGGAGCTGTGGTTACACAAAAGAGCTGTGGGCTCCTCTGGTGGATTTGGTCACTCAAATTTGGGCGGAATTTCCGCTCTTGTGCCGTAAACCCACAAAACCGTTTTTAATCAGGATTGGGCCGTTTCTGGGCCCAACCAACCCCCCCGGGCCCAGCCAAGCGGCCACCCACAGCGCCCCAGCAGAGCACCCCCAGAGCAGCTAGGCGCCAGCGAACCCAATCCAAAACCAAAAACCCAAAAATTCAAACAGACCCCTAAGCTCCCCCAGCTCCCCCCACCAGCTGTGGTGGAGCTGTAGGGGGAGCTATGGGGCACTTCATAGAAAAGGACAACGAAACGTACCGGCTCTGATATGGGCGGCCCAACCCCCTCTGGGCCTACCGGAGGAGCCACGCACACAGCTCCCGGCCAGAGGACACCCACAAACCGAACCAAAAACTCCACGGCACCAAGCCGCATCCACAAACAAAGTGCGTCTGCTCAACAGCGCAAGCGATCTTTCGGTCGTGACATTTTCGTAGCTGACATCTCTTTGCCAGAGCACAACCTCAGAATGCCCATTGGTAGGTTGGCTTCTTATATGCATGATGCAGAAATTCAGGCAGCAGCATTCTGCACTGAATGTCCACGTCCTTGCTGTAACATGGTATGCGAAGCACTTTGTCCAAGTTCACAAGTTGTTGTGATTTGGAGTATCCACTTCCCTGCGGCATGAATCTGCAAAGCTGTATGCACAGAAGGTCTAGGCTCATCGACAGCACATGGACCTGTGCTTGTGAATGCCAAGAGTCCACAAAGTCTACAGCTGATAAGCTATGGTTACCGGCATGCAATACCAAACAAACTAGTGCAGTGCAGCCGGTCTTTTTGCTTAAGCAATGATAACTAGCAAAGAGCGAATATATCTACGTGTTACAACACGCACCGCCACTTTGCCCGAGTTTGGGGTTACCTGCGACTGCGTCGAGGAGACGGTTCATTGTTGTTGGCATGGCGGGTTTATGCGCGTTTCGTGCGGTTGCTGCAGCCTTCCCCCACACGCCAAAAAATCTAGTTTAGCTGACTGCCTGGTCTACCAGGGTCAGGCATGGTGCTTCCAGAAAACAAAATCTTACCGATAAGTGCTATAATCCCGAGGCAAGCCCGGCACCCTCGGATCTCTGGCCTGCTCTGCCAGGGCAGGACCATCTTTGATTCCAACTAAGGCATACGAGCCGCGATAGGACAGGCCTCTGCACAAATCTGCGCGAATCTCGCAACTGGTTGGCATATCAACATTAAATTTGCTGAGTGCATGGCTGTCAATCAGGGTGGATCCACACATCCTCATCGCATCTTTGGCTGCAGCAGACATGTTGCCTTAGATGTAGGCAACAACATGGCTCCGCCGCTGATGGCAAGCTTTTTGATGAATTGTTGTCTTTCCCATGAACAACATAGCTTCAGACCCCAAAACAACTCCAAACCTCGCAAGACCCCGAATAATTGTCTTCCCATGTCCTACCACTTCTGCTCAACCTGCTCCTGCCTGAGCTTTTCGGCAACCAGCCTTGTCGGTAAACCTTGCTTTCCCAAACCCGTCCGCTGATGAAGACAGCAAGCCAAAGCCAGCGGCTGTCGGTTATTGCCGATAAGAACGGCTACATCAGGTGTTAAAGCTATCTGTTGAGGCCAATAAGGTTCCTGCCCTGCACTATCCCTCTCGAATTGACTGAAGCTTGCGCGGCGTGCTATGCTCTGATATTCTCCGACCTTCCTCTGCCATGGCCGGCCAATGGCTTGACGACAGAAACAAGCGCATGGAATCTAAACTCTGCAGCTTCATCCTGGACACTGGAAGCCTCATCACGCACTCCAGCAAGAACCAGTGAGCCACTGCCGAGACTGGCAATGAAAGAAACAAGCGCCTCGTCAGATGCTTCCGAAAGCACCATATGTCGCTGACATGTGAGGCAGGCTCCAGGCTCCAGGCCTCTGATCCTGCAGCGTGGGTGTCAAAGACGTTGAAGGAGTCCAAGAAACCTCCCTGGCAGAAAAACTCTTCACAGAATAGGATTCCAAGCCATGGCCGAGGCATGGGCAGGCCGAACCACTGCAATGTTCATGCCACGACCGGTTGCAACATTCAGCACGTGGCCGTCCACTTCGAACTGCACAAGGTTCCCGTTGCTCCTGTCCGAGACAAACTCATACTGGACAGCAGGCACGCATCGAGCCACACGCATCCTGGAGGTACTTGTAACCGTCACGTTGTGACTGATTGTCTGACCTTGTGCTGATCTGTAGCAGATGTCCAAATTGTGATGTTGCATCGTTCCAGCCCCGCGACCTACTTTACGTGCCATGTAACCAGGAACACGCAGCATGTGGAATTGCCATGCCAGGGGACTGTAGAGCGCTGTGGCAATGGCAAATGGACCACCATCTGCAAAGGCCTTCACGTAGATCCAGAGACCACAACACACATGTGAAGTCATGACAGTGTACCTGCTCAGCCAATGCGGCTCCATCCTTCACGCCAACAAGCGCATACGATCCACGATACGACAGACCTGATGACAGGAATCTGCGGTTGTTGTGTCCCAAGTTCTGACAACTTCCCTAAGGACAACACTGTCAATCAAATTTGCGCCGCATGTTTTGATAGCATCTTTGGCAGCAGCACTCATGTTGCCTCAGCTGTACTCGTACTCAAGTGAAACAAGACACAGGAAGCTCTGAATAAGCAAAGGAGGAGGCTGGAAAGAAGTAAACTAAGACATGCTGCCAAGGCAGCGCTGAAGAGAAACACAACTTTCTGTTTGCTACCTGTTGTTCTCATGCGTTTTGATCGACTGAATAGTATGCCAGTGGTGTGCGTTTCTTCCAGTTTGGCGAACAAGCGGACATACAACAGCACCAAAAAGTAACATGCCGAACCAGACCCTTCTTGAAGACAACATGTGCTGCCAAGCATCTGGAAGCTTCATCCTTCACACCCATGAGTACCACAGTGCCGCTGTCAAGATCGTGAATGAAGCTGGCGAGGGCCTATGCCAGGCATCATTATGTGTTTCTTCAGTGCCATGGGAACAAAACGTTCACAAGCATCACAAAAACAGGCCGCAAGCCCTGCAAAAGCAAGATAGTCCCGGGTAGGTGTTACACGAAACACTAAGATATCTAATACCACCTGTACAAGTATGAGGCATTTCTTGGTATTTCTTGGTTACAGCATGGGTGTTCCCCAGCCCAAGCTATTTCGACAATGTCAACAGGAAGCTAATGGCTTTTGCTTTCGCCATTTGCCTCGGAATCTGCTGCGTGCGTGTCAAAGACGTGGAAGGACTCCATGGACCCGTCCTTGAATTGCATAGGCTCAGTCCAGTGCAGGTCTCCCAAAAAAACAATGCTGAACAACATGCTTAAGCTAAACAATTACTATGTCCAAATGACCGCAGCTCAATGACTTGCCGGTTTCAAATCAATGCTGTATGATGTAAACAAAATGAATACATGCACAGGTTGTGAAGAGAATCATCACCACGTCGTCAACAAGGCGTCATGTCTGTCGACTCTCTAGCGTCATGACCGCAAAGAAATGCTGCAGCTTGGGTTGGGTTGTGATTTGGCATTCAACGAAATTCTCTGAATGGGCGCTCAAGTTGCCCTACATTGCGCATGTTGTATTTGGTTCAATTTCAAGCGGCATTCCAGTTTCAATATGTGGTGTGAAAACCGCCTTTCTGCCTTAGCCTTAAACCGAAGTGGGCATTGTAGCGTAAACTCTTTTAGTACGGCCGTGGTTCCTGCCAAACTTGACACGAAGCTCACCACAAAACAATATTCAGCCATGTTCAGCTTTCAGGTTGTGGGGAAAAGCACACGGAAAACAATGTAGGCGCGAACACATCTCTGCACAACATAAGACCCACCCTCCGGTTGTCGTCGCAAGGTAATAGAATTTGAGCATCGTCAGAATCTTGTCCATAATGGCAATATTGTGCTCCTATTCGGTAATGCACCCGTGCGAGGCACCCATCTCTTCTATTCTCTGCAACAGTTATTGCCCGGAAAGTGAACGCATCACAACGTGCCTACATCTTGGAAGGGCTGGGTGGATTTGAACTGGAGTACGCGATTGACACAACAATTTTGCGAACAAGAAAGAAAGCGCGTACCTCGCAACTGAGATTACTAAGGCAGAAAGGTGGCTTTTCCAGGCCGTTCCCACAAGGTTGCAAGGAGTGGCAGCATGCCCATACGGTCCGTGGCCGATGCTGCTTCGCCAACTCCCGACAGTGGCAGGTGAGGCTCTTCTGTGTCCGCCCAAGTTGCGAAGCCGCTCGAAAGCTAGACATGGAACACTCACATGGCCTGTTTTCAAATCTTGTTGGTCTTGGCTTGACTGAACGCGATGGCGAGCCAAGAAAAATGCAAAACGGTCAAAAAAAGTGACTTGGCCAGAAACCGAACACTGATGATCGCGGCATTCCGAGCCCCGGATCCTGAACAGCCATTACTTCAAAGCAACACGTAAGCCATGATCTGCGACTGTACACGCAGCAAGGTCATGCATTAGCCTCCAAAATGCACCGGAAGCGGCTCACGATGAGAGCATGATGAGCATCAACACCCTTTAAGGGCAACTCTTGTCAGCCTCAAGTACCCGGAGGCTTGTGCCACAAAGGACTCCAGAGGGGGATAGTGCCCCTGTGGTTCAACTCCATTCCAGTTCGTCACACGGGCTGATGTATGTACATCTGCTGCAACACCACAAAAGGATCAAAGCAAGGCCATCGGCTTGAGATACTTATCTCCCCAACTACAATCAAGATCTTCTACCAGGACAAACGAAAGGAAAAGACCCAAGAGAGGCTGTAAGCGCCATATTCACTCTGTGACAATGGCTGCGAAAGAAACTGGCACCCTCCTTGGGCGGAGGTCGAAGGCCTTGACCTGGGCTACGGCGTGCTGGGTTGCAAGCAGTGTGGAGAATGAGCGCTGCCCTTAGCCATGGCCGATGCAAGAACGGATGCTAGCCCCCGCGAACCGGCATGATCGTGGTGAGACCAGCTTGTGCGGCCGGAGTGAGGCTCTCCTGTTCCTCATCACGGCGCCTGCAACAGCAGCAGGCCGCTTGGCAGGTGCACAGGGCCCAAGCAAGGCCACCAGGAAGGCAATGAAAAGGGCCAAAAGGAATGCCCAAGTTTCAAAGGACCGGAGGACGGGCAGCTTGGGCATTAGCAACTCTTCTCAGAAAACATTACAATTGCAGTAGCCCAGGTGACCGACTCAGAACCGGAGCTGCAGACAGGAGCAGCAGCCTCGTTATCCACCTAACCCAGTAACAGTTACCACACCGCTGCACAGGTCCTTATGGCCCAGCTCTTGACCGCAACAGGATGGCAAGTGTGAACTAAATGCTCCCAAAGATTTACGGACTTTCTGTTGCAGCTGGCATTGGTCAATTTCCAATCGAAGGGTTTGTAACACAATTCTCGGTGCAAAGTGTATCAAGCCTGGGCGTCCGTGCCATGGAGCAGTTGGCACTTGGAAGTGCCAGCCCAAGAACCCGACATGCCAAGCGTTGCGCGAGACAAGCCGGCGGTACACGTGTAAGAAGTTAGAAACTCAATATAAGAGAAGCCCTGAATATGCGTCAGGGGAGATGATGTTTGCGCCACATGGTGGAGATTCGCATCACAATCAACCACATTGGCAACGTCTCCTTCGATGTCAAATCAACGTACAAGAATGGAGTGCGCGGTGATGATTTGCACTCTTCCGTATGCTGTTGCTTGTTGTTCCACAGAATCTGCTCTGCTTACAAGCTGAAGGACAAGTTATCCAAGTTGGCCTTCTAAAGCAATGCCGCCACATCGTCTGTTTTTGTTGGTGACAACAACTTCGCCAAACTATGTGCGGATGTCGCCGGCGCGTTTGCCGCGGTTGCATTTGCACCGTTTGCTTGGACCAATCTACGTGCTTGACCCACAGATTCAACAGCTCGAAGCACCCTTCTCATGCATGCCTGCACAGGCAACTCAGCAGGAAGGTTGTCCGCAATCTGACTCTCTGAGTATCTCTGAGTACCCTTCTGCGAGAACAGGATATGCCACTTGAAGTTTGTCTTTGAACCACGCTATCGTCGAGCTGACTATGGCCTCCCCAGGAGAGGGCACCTCCACCTTACCTATGAAATCCTCCCAGGCATCGACCATTGCTCCGGGCCCTCAGGAACGAAATCTTTCAGGGATTAAGGCCCAGAGCTGCAACAGCAATTCGAATTATTGTGCCTCTGCACATGCCTTAGTCAAGTGAAATCAGCCATGTCCTTCAAGTCAATAATTGCAAAACTCCCCAGACCGGTGCTGCTGCTTCAAGCTGAGCGCACCTAGGTAGCTTACAGGATTCTTACGCATGAGGATTGGGCACCCCACCTAATAGGATTCCAGAAGCGCGGAAAAGAGAGCGCACAAACCTAGGATTTTCTGAGGACGTCTGGCGCCTCAGATGGGCAAACTAGCCGGCCACGCCCTCTCTTTTTTTGTTTGTCACGGTCCATGCCAACTTTGCCCCATCAAACTGAATGCCCCCTACCTTGAACATGGAAGCTTGCGGTACCTTCTTTCTCAGAGGTCCAAACCTAAAGGGGTACACGCATCATTAGCCAGCTGGCAAGCTCGGAGGTCACCATATGCAGTAGGGCAGCCGACTAAGAATTCGGAAGGGAACCCCTGCAGCTGCATTTTGTCATCGATACGAACCCCAAGTAATGACCTAGGCAAGTACGAATCCAAGGTTGACCCAGTGGCAGCTTTCGGCCTCAATTATGGGCGAACCTTGCAAAATCCGTACACAAAGCACAAACAGACTTGCCCCTTTCGTCCGGAACTCAGCTCCTCGAGTTTTTGCCTCCTTTTTGTCAAGACCTTCCTCTCCCTCGGCCTGGCGATGACCGCTCCGACCCGTGCCCGCATGCTTGTGCCGCCATGACCGTTCCACAAGAGTTCACCTTGCCTTTCTGGCTTGGCCATTCTCCAGCACCATCACAGCTCTGGCCGGGCAATCGCTTGCACGATATGCCCCAACCTACGCCCGGCCCTCAAAAACAGATCCCCGGCTTGCGCTGCCAAATCCTCACTGCAAGAGCTCAGGTTTTGAGGTAGCAGGTAGGTGCACTTTAAGTACCACGGTCACACGCACTCCCTCTTCGCGCAGAGCTGACAAGGCAAAGGTAGCAGCCAGAACCGCAGCGCACAATTTCCCAAAAGCTGAGAAGCTAAAAGTTTAGAAATTGCCGTGTGGGCAGCATTGTGGCCGAAGAAGTTCAACAAGAGTAAAGAGTGGCTTGATGCAAAAAACAACATCCACACGTAATCCACAAAAAAATGACTTTCTGCAAGGTGCAAAGTTGATGACCGCCAAGTTCAAACCACGGGCAGTGGGAACATTCAGAATCTCTCCGTTGACCTCAAACTCGACCCTGTTTCCGTTGCTCCTTCCGCGCAGACATTGAAGTCACTTCTCGCGCGTCCAAAAGAACGACTATGCTGCAAACGCCAGCAGGATGTTTTGCCTCGACGTACTTGTCACTGTCAGATTCCTGACATCGTGATCAGATGTTCGATAACACGTCACCCGTCACAGGGTCCACACAGACAAAGAACACCATTCACTAATCATGCATGTCAAGACTCAGCGCAGCAGCCTGTGCCACCTTAGCAGGGCAGGAACCTGCTACCAGAAATGCATGACACAATCCTCAAACTAATTTTGAAACCCTCCATCGTGAGTGAAATGTCTTGAAGGAAGAGTGATGCCACTCCCTTTCAGCAAGCCGCCTGGAAGAGGCCCAGGGATATCCAAAGACCTTAGCAGACACTTCGCAGGCGCAGACTTGTATTCCAACCCAACATGGTCAAATTCAGTCTAGTGGCTTATCGACATTTGAAGCCAGGTTATCCAAGACCTTGTTTTTGAAAGGTCCATCTCAGCATCCTATTCAATATGGCTGCAAATTCAACACAAAGCACCGTGCCTGAGCATGGCCTGTCAGGGTGGCCTGGCATGGCACAAAGCAACAAACACAGCAAACAGCAAGTCCCAACAAACAGAAGCTGCCCCTACAGGCTACACCTGTGACTCAGCAGCGTCATAACGACTTCTATCAGCTGTGTCTCTACAAGCAACAGCCGCATGCACCTCGTGTGCCCGCGATTTGGATGCCCGAATTTAAGAGAAAATGTGCAGGCTGCGGGACGCTCGCTGAACATCGGACTGCCACGAGCCATGAGCGAGATAAAGTCAATCTTGGCGGAAGCTGGCTCTGGGGCAGCTTGCAGACCGCAACTTTCCACCATCCATTTCAATCTTTGAGCTTGCTTGCTGGCTCTTTTGAGACCGCAAGCACTAATCATTGCTTGTGATTAATAAATCCCCCTAGATTTGAAGATTTACTGGGGCCAAATTTGGTGTCAAACACAAGTACAAAGGCAGAGTCACTTTTGGGCCAACAATCCTAGATCTAAAAAAATCACCAAACTCTAAAGAATAATGGAAAGGTTTTCAATTGGTTCTTACTTAATTTTGAATAGGCTTTGATCGGTTTACAATCGATTCGTAATTTACAGCTTACTTCGATTCAGGAGCTCACCTTGACGAGCTTAAGGTTTAGGGAGACTCGCTTACTTGGCTGCTCTGGAAATGAGAAAAAAAAAGAGGCTGATTTTGAAGTCTGATTTGCTTACTAAAATATATTAGGAATATTTAGGAATTAAAAGCTCGAACATTGCTTCCTGAGCCACCCCTTACGGAGCTTGCGTGAGAGGGCTTCTCGTCATGTATAGAAAGCCCCATAGAATAACAGAAACAACTAACCACAGAAAGGATAAATTGAGCCGCTTGAAAAGGCTCAGAAACAGTCTGGGGCGGCCCGAAAGGCTCAGAAAGGGTCTGGGAAACGCAGAAACGGTCTGTGCCCAAGGTTCACTAGAATACTGGGCCCTGGGTTATCAATATCGGGGGGGGGAGGGCCAGGGGGCGCCCTGATTAATCACAAGCAAGGATTAACTTCATTAACAGGAAAGGCAGGAGCCTGCACAAACATTAACACCTACGTTCGTAAACTTGCAGCTGCAATCGACGCTTTGCCTGAGAGGTCTAGTTTGCAAGAAGGCCAAAGTCCGCGGTTGTCAGCTGCAAGCCTTACTCACGAGCCCTGCTGCGATGCCTCAGTAAAGGAAAGAAGTCTTCATTGCAGCACACAAGTCACAAGACCTTGAATACACTTTGCCTGAGCCAAATACATGAGAGTTGTCTGCACAGCAGCCCAAGAGCCAATTTGAACCTGCACATGGTCACGGTATGTACAAAGAGAGCTGGCACCAAACAGCACTGCAGCATGAATGCAATCCATGCGACCGCCGCAGAGAATTCCAGTTGGTGCCGACTGGTCTTCCATCAAGTGCCGCTGCGCCTGATCAAGGCCAGTTGCAACTTCAATCCAAGCAGGCCTTGCAACGTAGACTTCAGCAGAACACGGACTTTGCAAAAAACTGAATGATCTTGACACATCTTGATGCTTGGCATCCAAATAATTCAGACTTATGTGAGTCAAGCACGAGAAGCAGAGAAGTGCATCCTTCCTTTTTCCACTGCGCTCTGTGAAGGAGTTCTGCTGACAGCTCTCTAACAGGATAGCTTTGGGACCCCCTGGATGGTGTAAAGCAAGGCTGCTAGAGCG